GCTGGTCGATCCGGAACCACCCGGGGCTAGAACTGGGCTGAGTTGAGGAAAAAATAAAAAAGAAAAAAATCTAGTGTGACCCAATTGACTCGGTGACCCAGCAAGACCTGGTTGCAACCAATTGACTTTTATTTTTTTGTTTTAACAAAAACGACATCATTTTAATTAAAAAAAAATTGACCTAGACGACCCGGTCAAAACCCAAAACTCGAATCTTAAATCGTGCTACGTCTAAAAACTATAGTTTGAATTTTGATGAGAGTAATGCAGGTAAAATGAGAAAAAATGCTACTAATAAGTTTAATTATTATGTGTAAAATAAAAATAATTGAAATTATTTTTAAAATATTTAATGTTGTTTTCATCTCCTCGTGTTGTTTGAATTGAGAATTAATATATTTTTGAATAACTTAAAAAAAAAATCTTTTTTCACTCTTAAAAATTAAGCCACTGAAGTTAAAAAAAATTCAAATATATTCACATCTTTTTTTCTAAATTTATATATTCTGTTTTGTTTAAGGAATCAAGGATTTAATATCTTTGCTTCCTGGAAAGCACAACAAACTCTCAATCTCTGTTTTGATACATCTTACACTACAGGACTTCATGTTTTTTTTAGTACACCCTACACTACATGACTTAGTATCTTTGCTATTTTTTTTAAGTTATATGTTTTAAAGTTTAGATGTAACTGAGCAAAAATTGAAGTTATGTTCTTATGTATGTTCCTAATGTACGGTCATTGTATATGTCATTATCTGTATTTTCTTTCATGTTATAAACCAACAAATTGGATTATCCCTTAATGCATAAGCATTTCAATTCCAGTACAACATCAATCATATATCTCGTTGTATTGCAAAATAAATATTAGATGTGGTTCATAATTAGAATATTTTAACAATGTCGTCTATAATTGTATAATTTACTGATGCGTGATACTTTTATGTCTCAACTCATAGACATATTATGTAATGTTTTGCATTAAAGAATAGGAAAAGGAAATAAAACCCTTGGAGGCTTAAAGGGAAAGTATGATTAAATGAGGGGTATAATAATAATTGAATAAAAAGATGATAAATACAAATAAGAGGTAAAAAAAAGAAGAAGAGTGATCTGAAAATTGAAGGAGCAAACCGTGAGAGAGAAGAGGGGAAAGAAGAATAAGAAGAGAAAAGAAGAAAATTAGAAGGGAAATAGAAAGGAATTGAAGAAAATAAGTTAAAAGGGTAAGATTTATGTTTTAATAGGTATAATATGTTTTCTTTAGTTTTAAATTTTGATTTTGATGAATGTTAAGGTTTTAAAGATTATTTTTTATGTTTAATTGATAAATTAATTTGAATGTTAGGGGTTAATTGTTGTGGGTAATTGATTATTTAGTTGATTATGGAAAATTGTGATGGTTTTGAGTTATGAATTGTGTAAATGGTGAAATTGAGTTAGAAATCTAGAAAGAACAGTAGGTTTTAGGTTGAAATTCTAGGTTGGAGGTTGAAGATGACAAACTTTTAGTTTGGTCCCTCAATTTATGAAAATTGCAGTTTAGTCCCCAAAACTTTGTAAAATTTACAAATTGGTACCTGGAGCATATTCCAAGATTCTGAATAGAATAAAAGATGAATTATGGACAGAATTACTATATAGTTATGAAATTTTAACACTTTCAATTTGGTCCTTCAATGTGACAAAAATTACAATTTGACCCTTAAAAATATGATAAATTTCAGATTAGTCCCTAGCTATAATATTAGTTTTTTCAGATTGGTTTGATGGATAATTGAGGGTTATTTAGTGAATCATTATTAATTTATTATTTGTTTTATTATGAACTAGATTTTGGAAAAACCGTTAAATTTTAGGTTTTTGAGAAAATTGACTAGTTAGTTCAAAAACATATAAGGTTACAGAATACACTATTAGTTAAGTGTATTAAATAGATTAAATGTTCTTTTGAGTTGTTTTTGAATATGTCTCCTTTGTATTCAGATAATTCTAATATTCTACCTGCGGGACGTTGGTAGGATTTTTTTCGGTGTCTGCTTTTGACTTCTATTTGCTTTTGAGTCAGGTGAGTGGATAATTGTTCATATGCATAAGAAATATTATAAATATTTGATTTGTTAATATGAATTAGATCATGCTTCTTGATAATATATATGTTGATTATTATCCTTATTATGATAAAGCATGATCATTTGTTGAATCTGAATTCTTGATATAAACCAATATATATTTTGAATTGGCTTCTGAATTGATAGCTCCTCATTAGATTGATGTTATGAGTTGAGCCTTGGTATATAACTATGTTTGTTTGATTATGATTATGAACCCATGGTATGCCAGTAAGAATACCCATGCTAACAGGGTAGTATTAGTCTTTGTGCACATCGTATCTGAATCCTAGTTGGTCGGGGGAATCACCAACCTGTGTGGATTGATCATCCCACAGTACGGAGCCTCATGCTCATTTCATTTTTATTTTTTGACTAGCTTTACCTTATGATATTCTTGTTATGACCTATTTGAGGAACCTTACTATAAGAACCTAAAGCCAATTGTATATATATTTCTCATTGTTGTATTACTTCGCATGTGTATATTGAACATTATCTATTCACTGAGTTGTTGAACTCACACTCTTATTATTTATCCTTTTCAGGCTTATAGCTTGATGGTAGGTTACTTTTGTTGGACCTTTTGAACCTACTCTTTTGTTGAAATTTATAACTTCCTTTTATGTCTAGTTAGTGCTCGGAAACTATGAATTTATATGAACTCTTGTATTAAGACAATCAAATTGTATTATAAGAAGTTAATTTTGTTATTAATGCTGTGTTGAACTCTAATTGAGTTAAGAGAAGTTTCTATATAAATTTGGGTTCGCATAGGCATGGAACCTTGAAGGGGAACTTTGTCTCTATGCAGGTCATGGATCCGGGATTTGGGTCGTGACATATTAAATTATCCTATATGCAGAAAAAAATTCCAAAAAATGTTACTAATGTTACTAGATTTCTTGTAAGATTTCTTGTAACTTATTAGTGACACTTAAGATGTAGATTTTTTTTGTTTGTAATATTATAGTTAGTGTGTGGGTATGCTGATTTATATGAGATCAGTCAACATCTTATGAATTATTGGACTTAATTATATGTTTTATGAATGAGTTTTATTTTTTTGTAACTCTCTTTTCTAAACTTGTATTAGTTTTTTTTAATTGTTGTTTTTAGAAATTTGATTTAGTTCATATGTGTTATTTCTTTGTTGCATTGAGTGTTATAATATCAATTTATTTGTTATTAATGTTAAATTCGTATCATTAACTGTATCAAATACCTTATCTTGTCAAGTAGCCATTAGTCATTGTTGCTTTCACATACCAAAACTACTACTCATTATCACGACAAACTTTTATGTTGTTATTGTCTTTTGTTACATTGCATATAGGAAATTAACCTATTAATTATATGTTAGAAAAAATATTTTAACTGAGAACATGAAAGATTCTCAATCACAAGATAAAACTTGTTGGACTAGAGAGATGTTGAACATATTTTGTGTCATTTATATCAAAATAATTGTGAAAGGTATGCTACTAAACATACATTTCGACAAAAATAGATGGAAATATGTTATGAATTGCTTTAAAGAGAAGACCGGTTATGCATTAACGAAAGCAAAATTAAAAAATAAGTGAGACGGAATAAAAAAAAGATTGAAGAATATGAAAAAGTTGATTTCTAAAACTGGAATAGGTTGGAGTCCTAAACTGGAACAATTTCAACAACTGACAAGTGATGGAAATCTAAAATTAAGGTTTGTTTTTGTTTCAACATGTATACAATTACTATAAACTATTTTATTGTTTATTTTTATAATTATTATGTTTCATTTATATTTTTATTTTTCCTTGTTGTAGGAGATACAAGGAGCTCAAAAGTTTAGGTATTTTGGTATAGATCATGCATTGTGTTGTAAATATAATATCATGTTAACAAATATTGTGGCTATTGGTCAGTATGATTGGGCTCCTTCACATGGTTTGAATCATAGTTTCGAAACCTAGCCTAACTCGACTGGTCGATCCGGAACCACCTGGGGCTAGAACTAGGCTGAGTTGAGGAAAAAATAAAAAAGAGAAAAATCTAGTGTGACCTAGTTGACTCGGTGACCCGGCAAGACCTGGATGAAACTCATTGACTTTTATTTTTTTATTTTACCAAAAATGATATCATTTTAATTAAAAAAATTTGACTCAGGTGACCCAGTCAAAACCCGAAACTTGAGTCTTGAATCGTGCCAGGTCTAAAAACTATAGTTTGAATTTTGATGACGGTGATGTAGGTGAAAAAAGTTTAATTATTATATGTAAAACAAAAATAATTGAAATTATTTTTAAAATATTTAAGGTTGTTTTCATCTCCTCGTGTTGTTTGAATTGAGAATTAATATATTTTTAAATAATTTTAAAAAAAAATCTTTTTTCACTCTTAAAAATTAAGCCACTGAATTTAAAAAAAATTCAAATATATTCTGGTGTTTTGTTTAAAGTTAAAACAATAATTTTTTTTTAAAAAAGGATAAATATGCTCATAGACAAACACATTATCAAATTAAAATTATTTTGATTACGAAGTGAAAACATGAAGATAAATTAAGATAAAATAAGAAATATTGAACAAAGAGTGAAAAATGAGAGGGAGCTGCAGAGAAAACTTAAAGTGCAGGGATTATGGTTGAAATAGTTTTTTTATTACCACATTTTTTGGGATTATGGTTGAAATAGTTTTTTTATTAAAATTTTAATTTTTTTTATATATTGATATTAAAAATAAAAATTTAAAAATAAAATATTATTTTAATATATTTTTAAATAAAAAATATTTTAAAAAATAACTTCACAATCATCTCTTCAAATTTGCAGTATATCAAAAGTACAAGCACTCACGATAAAAAAAAGAGGTACTCTAATATAAAAAATTGTAAAACTCCAGGGACTAAATAAAATGCAGTGATCTCAGCAGCCAAAGAAGAAGGATGACCGGAGTCATGATGACTCTTCTTAGGCAAGTATAGAAAAGAAACTCTCCTCTAGGTTCTTGCTTTCCTTTTCACGCGCTTGTCTTGCCATGGATCGAGCACAGATTTTGCTGGTAGGATTACCTCTATTTCTTTTATGCACTGACCTTATCCACCTCTTCACCCCACCACCTCCCAAGCACCCCCACCACCCCCCCCCCCCACCCCACCATCACCATCACCACAAACAACCACAATTGGGTGCCGATGAAACCCTAGAAGCTCCAACGCAGGTGAATTGTCTCATGAACGTTTTTATTCTTTGTAAACATTCAAAAGAATTGTAATGCTAATTAATTTTGTGGGGTTTGTGTTTCTATTTGCAGAAACCAGTTGTTGGAGGGATTGGGCTTGGAAGCACGGTCAAAATTGACTTTTGCTCTTCTTGCTCTTACAGGTATCCTTGATTCTTTCTAATTATTTTTTTAGTTTTTTTTTTAGTGTTCTTTGATTATTGATGGAGTAATTTGATCAGCACACAGGATTTTCCCCTTTCACTAGTATTTAAAAAGTGCCTTGATTTTCATGGTTTTTGTTAGTGGTTGTTGGTGATTTATGTTCAAATTTGTTGAACTCTACGTCGCCCTTTATTCATGCTCATGTAATTTCATTAGGAAGTAATTTGGGTTTTGATTTTGATGGGATTGATTTGGTTTGGGCTGCTGTTGAAGCGCGGATTACTAATTTGTGTTGCTCTCTGCAGAGGGAATGCGGTGACGATGAAAAGGATGTTGGAAACGCAGTTTCCAGGGATTGATGTTGTACTTGCAAATTACCCCCCATCCCTTCCGAAGCGGGCGGTAGCCAAATTAGTACCAGTTTTTCAGATAGGAGTTGTGGGAATTGTGTTGGGTGGTGAACAGATTTTTCCGATGCTAGGAATCAGGACTCCTCCTTGGTATTATTCTTTACGTGCCAATAAATTTGGGACCATTGCATCTACTTGGCTTCTTGGCAATGCATTGCAGTCCTTCCTGCAAAGCTCTGGGGCGTTTGAAGTTTACTGCGATGATGAATTGGTTAGTAGCCTATCGCTTGAGCCTGAGTTTGAACTTTTAGCTTGTTTCAATGCATTTCTCTTTTGCCTTTGGATTACCTTGAAGCATCTGTTTGATGATCGGGTAATGTAAGAGGAATTGTATGCACTGGCTACTCTTCTCACTATTCACTAATAGGATTATAATATTATATGCTCTGCTAATCAATGTTTATAATTGAAACATGGCTGGAAGGTCTATAATATTTAATCAGATACATTTTTAAGCAAGTGGAACATTCCGTTAGTTTACCAGGGCCACCAATGCCTGCAGGAGTTGGTATTATATTTGCAATTTCTTAATGTGCTGAGCATATGAGAATCTTAATTCAACTGTTCTTTTTTGTTGCTTGACAAATTTGAACCTTGATTTCAATTTTGTCAAGACAAATGGACGGGAATTTACTTTCTTAACCGGATTCTATGTTTTTGTGAAATGCAGGTTTTCTCCAAACTGAGGGAGGGCAGATTTCCAGGAGAGATCGAACTAAAAGATATTGTTGGCAGAAGGTTGGCAAACTCTGACATTTCTCATACGTTGCCCTAGTTCGCTGCCACCCATGTGGAGTTGTCCTAGTTCGCTGCCAACCATGTGGGGTTGAATTCAAAACAAGTGGTTAGGTGGTTGGACGCCTAATATTATACTGTCTGGAAAGCAGGGCATGATGCATGTAAATTGGAACCCGTATGGATTTTTCAGGGAAAATAAACCAAGCTGATGCCTTGAGTTGCTTTTCAGTCAGATCAGCTAATGCTAGTTGTATTACTTACAAAATGTGAGAAACTAAAAGTGAGAAGCCAGTGTTTTGCTTGTTTTTCTCCAAGCACCAAGAACATAGCACGCTGGAACGGGTGGTTTCCTGTTTGTAACAAGCTCGATTATCTTCTCTTCTTGTTTTTTGACATTCAGGATCCCAATTTTCTAGCTCCAAAAACCCATAGCATGATTGAAATGGCTTGTGTAAGCGCCTAAATTTGACGAACTTTTCAAAATTACACTTCTATCCCTATGTTAGAATTGTTTTTTTTTTTATATATAAGCATTTATGACAATTATTGTTAATGTAACTCTTAAAATAAAAGGATACAAATTTTTAACAAACACAATTTTTTATTCATACCTTAACAACAATAACAACACCCCCTGGAATGAAAATGAAAATGAAAATGACTTGATAATAAAAAATACAAAGTAGACATAAAAATAAAGAATAATAATGAAAAATCATTACATTGCATTAGATTAGGTAACTTTTAACCTTCAATCTTGCCTAATAAAAATTATTGAATTTATTGGGAAAATCAGTGAATATGATGTTTTGAGTGAATATGATGTTTTGAATTGTTTAGTTTTTTGTATGAAACCAAATAATGGAGATCACACAATTCTTTTTCTTCTTCTTTAACAATTTTGGTTCTCGTATCTGTGTTTATTTTGACTCTAAACATGTTCTAGTTTTAAAAAGTGATTTAGAGAATTTAGTCTTTTCAATTCTCATAAAGTGACTTCATTTCATTTTTACATAGATGATTCTTAATAATCGTATCCAGCAATACCCTATTTGAATTTCTCAAGCTACAAAAATCATTAAAAGCTTGGTTTATCAAGTTTTAGTTACAAGTAGCACTTTTTATTATAGGAATGGATAAGAGTGCTATTATTAAATTGACACATGGTATGGTTGTCTTTTTAAATCTAGATCTTAAGATATTCAATCAACTAGGTTGGATTGCCATCATGAAAATTATTTGAATATAGACTTTAATCTTATCCTTCTTGATGATTTGTTGACTTACTTTTTTGTTAAGCATTTTATTAGCAGATCTGAGATATTATCTTTAACTTTATATAGTCAATAAAAATAATCCAATAGTAGTGTGAAGACTTACTGATATATATAATATTTTGTGCCTTGTTAATTACAAGTTGGCTATTACAATGTATAAAATGTCAAAAAATCAATTCAATCCAAAAACTTAACTGTTATGTGAGATTCCAAGATATAATTTATATTATTCTCTAACACATCCTCTCAAGTAAAAGCCATTTGAGCTTGGAATTTGCACATACTCACACTACCTTGTGCTTATTTTTTATCAAATAAATGAAATGGTGAGATTCGAACTTATGACCGTTTGGTCATTAAAGTTTTGATACTATGATGAGATTCGAACTTATGACCGTTTGGTCATTAAAGTTTTGATACTATGTCAAAGAACTAATTTAACCTAAAATTTTAGGCTGTTAGATGAGGTCTCAAGTTATGATTTATATATCAAAGAACTAATTTAATCTAAAATTTTAGGTTGTTAGATAAGGTCTCAAGTTATGATTTATATTATTCTCTAACATACAGATTGCTGGCATAAAATTTTGACCTTCTTGAAACATCCTAAAAAAAGGTTTATAAACCACTCTACTTCTTGTCCATTTTTGTCTAAAACTATAAACTCAGGCTTCTTTATGGATCTAAAAATAAACACATTTATGAGTTTTAAATTTTTAGTATTAAATATTCAATTAATATCGTTATACTCTTTAAATATAACTGGATATCTTATATAATACAATCCATATTTGATTATTTTTTTTGAGGAATTATAACTTTTTTTTAGACACCCTCACACTTTCATATATTTATTGGATCATGTTTAACCATTAGATAACTTGTACTGTGTCTTGTTCAATTTCTTATAAGATACTTTATTCATACTATATTTTGCTAATAAAATATCATTCACTCCTGTAATATCTAGGTAATTTTAAACTTGTCAACATAATATTATTTTTTTTTCAATGTTTGGTTCTTGCATGACCATTCTCAATCCTTTTTTATCATTTTGATTTTCATGATAGGTTGATTTTCAACCTCTTTTATAAAATATTTAACTTAACCTTATCTTTGTTTCTTAACAAATAAACATATACAACATCTTGTACAATCATTAAAAAAGTAATAAAATATTTTATATTATATTTAGTTTGCACAAATTTTATATTATAAATATTAATGTAAATTAGCTCTATACTTTTGTCTCTGGAATAGATAAGAAGACTCCGACCAACTAAAAAAATAAAGAATCTTTATTAATTTTATTGGCTTTTTACTGCAATAGGCATAACATTAACATTGAGTTTAATAACTCATCACATAAATATTCCTTACTCATATACATCTTATTTTTATGAGGACAAACTCATTAAACTCATGAATCAAATGAAACCAAGTAAAAAGAAAATCAAATTCTTTTAAATATTAGAAGTGTTAACCACATTATTCATAGTTTTTTTTTTTTTTTTGAGATGTCATCCTTGGCATCATCTTTTTTGGCCTAGAATTTTGCACATTAAGAGCTATTCAGGAATAATTGTTCTTCATTATTTTTGCATACTCAAAAAAAAAATTGCTCTATCAAGACATACATAATAGATGGTTCCCATATCAATCCATCACTTTTTAGGATTGTTTATCAAATTTACTTCTTTCATAACCACAATAAACTTCATAGCTCTCTGACCAACATTTTGAATCATGTTACTTGGTGTATTATTCCTTTTCCTATGACAATTGTCCTTAATGTGGCGTCCTGGCTTGTAGTAAAGAGAGCAAGTTTCTTTGAACCTTTTTTTTGCCACCATCACTATTATAACCCTTGTAATAACTTGTTTCATCATGCTTTCTATTTTAAAAATATAAAAAATAATACACTTGAATATAAATTAATCAGACATCTCAATTAAAATAAATCAAAAGAATAAAAATTAAATTTAACATAAAAATAAATTCAAATCAAATGTTAAGAGATGAAATTAAAAAATAAGTTCAATTAAAAAATAACTCAAAACAAAACAAATAACAATAAAAAAATAAAAACTAAATATGTAAAGATAAAAAATTTAAAGGAAGATGAAAATGAATTTAATTTTATAAATTATTTTAAATAAAATAAATAGTAATTAAAATAATATGGATCAAATCTAAAAAAAAAAATTGAAAAGCTATTTTGCAATTTTAGAGGTTAATCATTAAAATTAAAGAGAAAAAAAAAAAGGAACAAAGAAATAAAAACAATCGAGGCCATACAAAGGCTATTGGCCACACACTGTGCCAAAAAATGAAGGGAATGTCAAGCCTATGCAAACCCTATCGTGGAAGCCAGGCCTATCAAGAGACACCATAGACATTATTTAAAGAGTGCAAGCGCTTTCCACATACAAGTAAAAGCATTGCGCGTGTCAACTATTTGTTTTAAATAATATTTTATATTTAATAAAAAATTAAATTACCTTTAACAAAAAAAATTTAAAAGAAAAAGAGGGAAAAACCTTGAATGTCAACTTTAAAAATTTTACCATGTAATTATTTTATTGTGCTAAAGAAAGTGAAAAGACTAAAAAAGTCTAGATATTAATTTAAAATTTTACTTTTAAAAGTAATGTAATTATTGTATTTTGTTTTAAAAAGTGAAAAAAAAAATCTCCTTTTTTTAATTAGATAATAATCAATAACCTAAAAAAAGCAATTTACCCCGGAAAAAAGGCAATTCATTTTTTTTTTTTGAAATGACAATAATAATTAGTGAATAGTGAAACGCATCTATTTCAACGGTATTGGTTTATTAAAATGTTAATCAAATTGACCTCTTTTAAATTGAATTACCTGCCAATAAAACTTGCAAATTGAATCACTCAATTGTTTAATGAGAGCATCAAGTTCTTATAATTAAAGATCTCAAGTTTAATTATTGAGTTCTTCTCTTTTTAACTTTGAATTGCCTTGATATAATGTTTTTAAAAGAACACACACACACACACACACACCAACTTATTTTGGTTTTCTGAACATGTAAATCCACATAGTTCCAACAATTAAAAAAAAAATCAGGTTAATGTTAATAGCTTCTCTCTGTCTCTCTCTACGTATCTGCATCAGCATACTGGAATTGAAGTTAAAATATATAAATAACACCGTTGGTAGGCCTGTGGAATGAAGAATAATATTTCATTTTCACAAATTCCTGTCTTGCTAAAACGAAAGATACACGCCTCATCTTTGCCCAATTATTACAAGAAATCAAGCAATCTACAAACAAATATAATAATACAAGAATCTCTGGTTTTGCCTGTTCTGAAAGAAAGGAACCTATGGGACAAGGTTAACTAACAACAGAAACTACCTCAGAGCTCAAGTTTCCAATATACCAGTTGTGCAGGGCATAGACACCATCCAAACCCTTCTTCACTAAAATAGGTTTCTGGGTCTTCTGATCACTCTCTTTACTCCGCCATTGACAATTAAAGAAGCTGAATAAACCATCCTTTACATCAGCAATCTCAAACACACTGTACAAGTATCACTAGATTCAGAGTTTCCTCGTCTCAGATTCAAGTGCAATTCACTTGTAGATCACAAGTGAAATGAAGACATGCTACTCCACCAGGGTTATTGAATGATTTCTCCCATAACTTACAGAAAAAAAGAAAATTAAGAAAACGAGATTTCAAGGATTTCTGAGGGACACAAAACAACCTCCTCAATGTAAGTTCGCTCGCTTTCTGTTTGGAAGTAACCCGACATTCTCTGGTAACAAAACCATCACACAGGAATGCTGTCAAAGAGTCTGAGATATGGATTATGCCTTGCATGAATTTACATGAAGGAAGGATTCTTTTTGAGGTACACATCTAGTGCATTTCTTGTCTCTGAAAGAAAACTGCTTCATCAGGTAACAAATTT